TACTGAACTCGAACACAAGGCATCGCCATGCGCCTTGATTGTTTTATGGGAGGAGTCGTCTTGTCAATTCCTTATTTTACTAAATTGCTTTTTTTTATTGGGCTCTCCTTCAAAGTTGAATAATTTTATTCCTGCAAAAACGAAAGGGTAGATTGAATGAAAGTTGTATATTTATATTAAATTTTAGCAATATGCATAAGGTATGATCAAGACCTAAGTCTGTCTTTTACACTGGCATTTTGGTTTGAGCAATCTGAGTTTTCAATCACGATTCATTTTTTTTATACGTTGTTCATTGCATCAGCCTTCTATTTGTGTTACAAAACTTTGTTCTCAGTTCGATGGTTGCTATTAAGAAATTAATTGCATGTGTTAATTTTATAAAGAAATTTCTATAATGTCTATAATTGTGACTTTTAGGATGAATATTGCTTAAATTTTAAATGAATATTAATGACCTAGGATAATTGGCACTGAGACTTGCTAAGGACATATATAGTTGTCATTCTAAAATTAAATTGTTAAGGATTTTAGGTAAGTAAACCCCATATTGTCTTCATGGTACGTTACATTGTTAAGTGTATAAACGAGTTACCTAAACTTGTTATTATATATGAATTTGATATTCGATTATTACGTTTTATGTTATTAATGCTTCTCATGACATATTCATGCACTTCAATGCATCCATATGCATACAAGAAGTTTCGAGGAATAAGAAGTCTCCAAATTTCATGAGTCAAGGATTATTTCAAAAAGATATGTATTCCAACGTTTTGTTAAGAGGTGTATTATATCATGAAAGGTGTGAGCCGAAAATGGGACATGGGGGACCGATGCACCCAACCAATTGTCAATGTTCAATATTCAATGATAATGTTAATCTTAATTGCTGCGGTACTATCGATAGAACGAATCGAATTTCATATAATAATTGTTCACTACATTATGATTGGCTAGACAATACATCAAATGAACTCACAGCAATGTTAAATTTTCAAAGAAATGAAAGGAAAATGGATAAATAATGAAAAACACTTACGTTGTGTTTGAGCTACATTATTTTGAAAGAATGTATTTTGGAATAATAGATTGATGGAGAACGTGTGGTTAAAAAAGAAAAAAAGTTATTGATGTGATGAAAAATATTATTTTATTGAAGAATGTGTGGTTGAAAATGAGTAGAAAAATAAGAATGAAAATTTTAATTTGTACCAAACAGAGCCTTAATTCATATGCATATCATAAGCATATATCATATGCACGAGGTTTACTTATTGGGTGTTTTAGCTCATTCTACGTTTTCCCTCTCCACTTTTTAGATGAAGAAAGCAAGATGATTCGAGATGACGGTTTGTGTTAACACATACTCAGTAATATCATATTTAAATGTTGAATTCGTTTTGGTAATTAAAGTTAACATTTAATTTACTTGTTCTATATTTTATTAAGTACAAATTATTTTAAAATAATAAGTTATTGATATTTATTATGTCAAAGAAAAATTTAATATTATTCTGTATTTACGATTTTAAGAGTATTAAGCAATAATGCTTCTAAATTTGGGTACCTAGATTTGAGGGTGTTACAAATCGACATCCTGAGAATGAGGAAGGTGCTCAAGAAGTTCTCTAACATTTTGTTTGGATGGAAATGAATTAAGGTAAAGGAGTGGTGGGTAGATGGACATGATATACCTGATTTTTGAAAGAATAATGTTAAAATTTGATTTTTGAAATGACAAGTTAAAAACTATGATTATTGTGTAATTTCCTCTTTTAAAATTTTGTTAAGAACTTGAAATATTTGGACCTTGAGAAAATTGTTGTGCTTTCTTTAGTGAGAAATATCTAACCATAAATATAACACAATAATGAAATCATAAATCGATCCAACCCGATTTGGTTTCCCTATAAGAATTCGAACTGAAATATTGCAAAAATCGACCGTACCTAATTCGGTTCTTTGGATTGATCCGGTCAGTTTCACGGATTAAAATGTCTAACCTTAAACAGAAGGTGTATGGACATATTTGGGTCCAAGCACAAATGGATCAAAAGGATTGGCAATGTAACTCAGATCCAACACGAAAAGAAAAGACAAGAAAACTGCAATCTGGCCCATTTAATATTCACGAATGGAGCATCTCATCCGTGTACCCAGGCTGCAATTAGGGCACAATCCAAAGAATTCAATTCAAAGCGACATCTTGTCACCAGGTAGGCAGCCTAGTCGAAGCATGAAGTCTCATCCGAAATGGTCCAACTGGCCAAGCGTTGACAAAATTGTGTTAGATTTGCAAGATAAAATTGTTAGTTTAATTTTAGAATTAAGCTCTTTTGTTAGAAAGAGTTCGACACTCCCCTTAACCGATGCTCACATGAGCAAGAGATTCACGTGAATAAAAAATTTCAAAAAAGTGCCCCCTCCTTTTATTGTGACCATGCTGTCTAAGAGGTTGTCAGCTAGCATAGCATAAATGTTAAAAAATAGATTCGAACCACTCCATCAGACTTATGCAATGAGCATTATTCTAATTGTAACCCGGTAATCAATTAATTTCAAAATATTAAATTCAGCATTAAGCCCCTATTTGCCCCCCGTTAATTTAAATTTTTGGGGGGTAGATAATTTTTAGAATAGTGATTGATGGGAGATGTGTGGTTGAAAAGTTTTTGATTTGTGTGTATTATTATTTTATTTGATGAATGGATGGTTGAGATGAAGAGAGAGAAAAAATTAATGTAATGGAATGTGATATA